GAGAGAAATCCATGCAAAAGAGGAAAAAGAAAACCTGAAATTGAAAAAAAAAAAATGTGAGTGAAAGAGGACTAGAGGAGAGAAAGTTGAAAGAAAGCTGAAGAAACAAAATGGCGGATGAAGAAATTTGTGACTGGAATTCCTCGCTGAAAAAGGTACAGTTTCTGTTCTAATTTGCTTTCTTTAATTACATTCATCCTCAATTGGTTTGCTATATTATTGAATTCGGTGCCCATTCTCTTATTTGGTGTTTATGCTGTTAGTTTAGGGTTAGTTTAGAAGGTGAAGCATGCATAATTTTAAGGGTTCCTGTTTTACAAATGTTGGAATGTTTAATGCAATTTAACTTATAAATTTATTAAATTTTATTTAATGAAATTATTTCTTATTTTTTTAATTAATAATAATTTAGTAATTAAAATATCAGAGTGCAATGGCGACTGTGGAATCCACTGAGGAGGACCGATTCGTCCCATACAGAAGAATTAAAGCAAAACCGTTCTTTAAATAATAGTCGTTAGTAACTTATCATACTTCATATTCAATTGAATTGGATCACATGCTAGAGAGCGCCAAAAAAACTCCTTAGAATTACATCTTTTAGCTACTTATATTTAACATTGATCCTCATTGCTTTCAGTTGAAAGCGCGTTTTTGTGGAGAAGTAGGAAACGATTGCAACAAAAATTGGATTACATAGAAGGATGAATTGAGTATATATCATAGACGTTGCACTCCCTAGAGAAGCTTAGATAAGCAGATGTGCCAAACCCTTTTGTTTCTCCATTTAAAAAGAACTAAAAGCTGGGAGATGAGACTCCAAATTTAGCTTAAATCTTCTGGAACTCCTTAACGAGGCTAATGATGAGAAGTATTTTTTATATTTTAATTTTAATTTTAATTTTTATTTTATTACTATCTGTATGGATAATATATGATTTTCAATAAATTTTATATACTTTTCATTTTTTATGTAATAAAAAATTTGAATGCATAATAGTAAGAGTTTTTGATATTTATTGAATATCTTTTGAAAGTTAAGGAAATGAATTTTGAGAAAAATGTTCTTTTTGGTACCTAAATGAATGCATCTTAAGTTATGGGATCAAAGTGATAATCTATAAAAGATGAGGACCAGATCTGCTATTTTACAATTAAAGAAATTGCGAAGAGGGGGGAAACCCAACACGGGTATAGTGTCGACACATATTTTGTGGTGTCAACACCAAAAGCATGTCCATTGTCCAGCATTACAATTTCCTGTTTTCTGCTGTGTCTTACTCTTTTTTTTGTTTTTTTTTTTTAAAGTCTATAAATACTAATTTAAAAATTAGATTTAAGACTTTTAGTAGATACTAAGAGAGATGGTTAAAAGAAATTTAATATAAAAAAATTAAA